CTCAGACATTTGATCTGAGCAGTTGTAAAAGTCTTATGCATAAGCATAAGCGATTATAATCATTAAGTGATTATAATGAAAATCTCTTGTGAGGCAAGGGACTGGACTACTCTCATTTAGCGGAGAAACCAATATAAATCTTTTGTGTCTTGACTGTTATTTTTATTTACTTATATTGTATTCGCTTCCAAACGGGTTAATTCAGAATCTAAACATCATATCTGATTCTGAAACTCTGATTAGAAGCTAAATTAAAAGAGAACTCGAAACACAATTCAATCCCCCTTCTTATGTACTTTTCACACCTTTAATTGGTATCAGAGCATGGTCTGTGTTTAACACTTAACAGTGACGCAAATAATGATCCAATAAGAAAAGTATATTTCTTCTTCAAGAACGAATCAAGTGCCACATAAAAAATATCATATGGCTTTTTCTACCATATTCAAATGGATGTTTCCACTGAATTTAAATGATGGAAAGGCTAAACATATTTTTAACTCATTGGACTTGATAAAGGGTTGCTGAAGGTCTATAAAATATCCTTAAAAGAGGTATTACTATAGAAGTTGATGGTGTTAAATATGATCATCTTGAAAATCTCCTTCACCGACTCAAAAGATGCATATTGAATATCTTCAAAGGTAGTTACATTCTTCTAGATGCACTATCTCACTTCTGAGTATATCAATATCATTGATATGTTTGATGCTTGGATTATCTTTGAATTCTTGTGCTTGGGTTTGTGGGGATCAGTCTTTGAAGATTAAAGTAGTTACACTTCATCTAATCTTTTCAAGCAAATTCTATGAAGATTATTCCTTGACTTAAATCTAAAGTCACTATTTTTTATGTTTACATCTTGAATCTTCTGTATTTTGAAGTTTTGTGTTGCAGTCTTCAAAGAAAAGAAATGAAGTTAGATGATGAAAAGCTATTTAAGAGATCACCTTCTGTTTTTAGCTTAAGTTCTTTGGAATGACTAATGATAAGAAACTTAGGTTTCTTGTCAAAAGGACTTCCATACTGGCTGAATGGATTATGCTATCTGTTGATAGAATAGTAACTTTAAAAGCTTCTAAAATAATTGTATTTCAACTTATTTCTCAAATCTGAAAGCAACAAGAAAACACTACCAGAACCTAATATCAAATGCTCTTCATTATTTACTTTTCTGAAGCTGATATTAGTGTAGGATGCAGATGAAAAGGAGGATCTGTATTCTGAAATAAAAATCAAGTATTGAAAAGTAAGAGATGATGTCAAATATATCTTGCTTCAAAATATTTGATTATATGGTGTTTGTTCTTTAAGGTGATATCTTAAGAAACTCCATTGCTTCTTGGTTGAGGATCATCATGGAAGTTGTTTTAAAAGACATTTCTATGAGAAGTCTTCAACTTTTCTTTGATTTCTGTCAATTGTACTAAGACGGTACTTTGATTTACTTTATGTTAATTTTTTATAGAAAACACCATCTGGTTATGAGCTTGTCAATGATTTTAGAGTCAAAAGATTTAATACCAGATAATGATATTGGTGACATTGCTTAAAACAAGATTATGTTCTTATCATATCTCATCCTAGACTTATACTCTAGAGTGATTTATGATCTTGCTATTAGATTGATATGTAAGTCAAAGAGAAGTCTATTTGTACTTACATGTATGGTCTTATAGAAATATTAGTATCATAATGTTTCCGCTACAAATATCAAGGAAAGAAGCAGAGGTATCTTCTATAACGTTGTTTACAATATTTATTAGAGGAAGAGCCAACAACCTAGATTCAATTACAAGTGGTACTAAATCTGGTGAGAGTAGTAGAATCAATGGTTAGGCAACCGTTGAATCCAAATCCACTCAAAGCTGTGTTCAGACTCTATTGGTCAAGTCTGACTACTGAATCGAGTCTGGCCAACAAAAAAAAGTTTGCTTGTTCTTTTATGGCTTATCTTTTGATTCAATGAAACATTTGTATAGATATAAATACAAAGTTTCTGATAGATCTCTAGAGAATTTCTTTTGAAAAAGAGAACTTCAGAAATCTTTAAGAGGAAACTCAGTTGTATTTTTCTGCACTGAGTATCTTATTAAGCCAGATGATGATCATATTTATGGAAACAATTTTCTCATTTTTTGAGATGATATTGTTGCTTGTTAGCTGTTTAAAGAAGACAATTCATATTCATATATCACTCATGACTCTTGTTTCAAGATAAAATGCTAGTTCTAATAGAATCTTAGAGACCGATGACTGACAGTTGATATCTCCATCTAAGACTAGTTCTACTAGACTCTGATGATTGATAGCACTGAAGGTTGTCAGTTTCTGAGATTCGGGAGAAGATTTTTTACTTCTGATATAGCAGTTTAAGTAAAAGGTTTTCTAAAAGCTTTTATAATACTTAAGTTTTCATAAAGGTGAAACTCATCTAGTGGAATTAAAAAATTTGTTAGATAATAACCTTTGGGTAATGATGTTTTCTCTTCTGGTACTTGTTATTACTATTCCCTGCCTTATGAAACATCATTGTGTCCTTTTTGACAAGATTCTTATTTCTGTAAGATTCTTGTTCAGTTTCTTTTCTTTCTTCTTCTTCTTCTTCTTTTCCTCTTGTTTGTGTGATGATCAAACCAAACCTGAGATGAGTTCTTCAGTTAATTCTCCTCTGAATCAGTCGGGTGTCATTAATGAAAAGTTTGTGGATTTTGATGAGTTGCTTAAGATTGATTTCAACTTTTGGAAGGCTGTGTATGAACAAGGGTGGAATGACTACTTTGAGATGCTCTGTGGTTTCACTTATCCAAGTCTTGTCCAAGAGTTTTGGATCAATGCCTCCATTGTTGAGCTGAATTCTGAGTATGTTATTTTGTCTATAGTAACTGGTGTTTCTATTACAGTAACCTCTAAAGCGATTGCAAATGTGATCAATTGTGAGGAGATTGGAGAAATCCCAGGAACTCTTGTTTGAGAACATTATCTTCCTACTTGGCGTATCTTTGTAGATTCATCTAATACATCAGTGGTTTCAAATCTTCTTCCTGATGTTGTTGTTTGGAGTCAGATTCTAAATTCAAACTTACATCCTAAGGGTAAAGATTTTAGACCAAGTTAGCCCTATTGAAAAAGATCTGATTCTACTTCTTAATTCAGATTTCAAGATTGACCTTCCTCAAGTTATGTTTGACCATCTGAAGAGGTCTCTTTCTTCTTTTCAAAAGGGAAAGGCCTTCTCCATACCTTTTGGACGAGTTATTTCTGAAATACTTGTTCAGCAAGGGGTTAACATAAGTTCTGAGGCTAGTTCTTCCAATATTTAGAGATAAGTTTGAAGCTATCTATGAAAGATTATGATATTAAATTTCTGCATAGTTATGCTTTGTTTTGTTGTTGAAATTTTTGTATTAACCATCTTATTAATAAATTCAGAGTTTTTTCAGGCTTGTATTAAGTTCTAACTGATAAATATTTATTCTTATTGTTCAATGAGAATCTAAAATAATTAAAAGAACTCAAATATTTGCAACTTATTTTATTGCTAAAATGTATTTTGGGTTTAGAAGTTGAACATTCTAAATAAGGTATTTTCTTATGCCAAAGAAAGTATTGTATTGATCTCTTTAATGATGGAAGCTTGCTTGGTTCGAAACCTGTAACAAATCCCTCTAATCCTTCCATGAAATTTTGCCATGATAACATTACCCCTTTTAAAGACATGTCAGCTAATAGAAGATAAATTGGTAGACTTATCTACATTATTACTACCAAGTCCGATATTATTTTCATCACTCAGCAATTGAGTCAGTTCTTATCCAAGCCATTAATTTTTCAATACAATGTTGCATGTGGAGTCATATGACATCTAAAGCACTGTCTTAGACGATGGTTGTTTATCATAAAATCTCAGACATCCATCTATTGGGCTTTAAAGATGTTAGCCGGATTGGTTGTGTTTACACCAAATGATCAATCTCATGGGTCATGATTCTTCATTAGATCATCACTCATTTCATGGATAACTAAGAAACAAAGCACAATTTCAAGGTCATCCTCTGAAACGAAATATCGAGCACTAGTTGCTGCAACATGTGAACTGCAATAAATTCTTTATTTATTATGTGATTTACAAATTACTCGTGAAAAATCCCAATATTATATTATGACAATTAAAATGCTCTTCACATAGATGTTGACCCTATATTTTATGAAGGTACTGGTCATCTTAAAATCAATTACCACCTAAGAAATTATATTGATTAGCTAAGTTGGTAAGCAATTAGATTTTTTATTAGTAGTATGAGCAAGTTAGTTACTAACTTGACAGAGTTACTTGCAGTGCAATTCATTCAAGTATGTAAAGGTGTTAGTGCAATTCACTAGTTTGATCATGTTGTAATCCTACCTTATACAATGTAAGATGATGCCAATGTCAATATAAAAAAAATATATCATTGATCCTTTCCTATTTTTCTTTTTCCAAAATGCCCTATGTTAACTCATAATAATTCTACTCACATCTTTAGAAATTTATGTGCTCAACCTGTTACAACATGCATATTTTCAGTATCAAATTAGTGAATAATTTCTTTATTTGTGTTATACCAAAAAACACATTCACTATCATTTAATTTTTAAATAAAAAATACCATTAATTACACTCAATGATTTTGTCTTACTATTATTAAATTAAATTAAAAGCATGTCCAAAAAAGTTCATATTTTTGTGATGCAAACTCTCTTGTCAACCCAAAGATACTACAAAAACATGTGTTTGACTGATCAATACTCTGTATCTCTTGGTCAATAAACTACCATCTATATTTCCTTGAATCTTCTTCCAAAAATAAACAAATATAAATAATCTCTTATTTATTTTTATTTGTCAATTAAATCAATATACAATCTTAACTTATTACTTCCATTTTCAATTTTCAATCCACACACTTTTCTTCTTTTCCCCTTAATAACTCATTTTCTAAACCACCACCACCACCACCATGAATCTACCGGAATTTCCCTCCGGCGGAAGCTTAACACCGTCTCCAAAGAAAGAGCTACAAATACAAGGCACACGTCCGCCGCCTCTCAGAGTCAGCAAAGAATCTCACACAATCCGGAAACCCCCGCTTCCTCCGGCAGCTCACCACCATCCTCCGGCGGGAGCCTCACAGCACCGACAACCTCTCATCATCTACTCCGTTTCTCCGAAAGTCCTCCATGTTACAGAAAACGACTTCATGGACGTTGTTCAGCGTCTCACCGGTCCATCCGCAGGCGATGAAGCTAATCAACAATCCGGAGCGGTTTCACCGGCGGCGAGACTCGCGTCTATCGAAAGAACGAGTCCGACGGAGAGAGAAAGAGCTCAAAACGTAGACGACGACTTGACGTGGTTACTAGAAGGAGTTGAAATGGGACAGTTCCCTGGGATATTATCGCCGGCACCTGCGACTTTACCGCCGATATCGCAGGGGTTTTTTTCACCTATGAACGAACCACAAACGACGCCGTTTTGGCATGATATGAGTCCCTTTTGGTATGGGAGTAGTTTCGTGGGGAGTCCGTCGGGTTTACTCTCCGCCGCCGTGGTATCGCCGTTGCCGTCGCCAGATCTGTTTAGTATCTTCGACTAATTTCTAATTAATTTTTTTTGAGATTTTTTTTTTTTTGACTTTTCATTGATGATTTGAGTAGGAACGTTGAAAATTCGACATTCATTCACTGACTTTTTGTGCCATATCAACCATAACTTTTGTTTTGGTCTTGTGTATATTGGTGTAATGGGAAATAAATATCAAACAAATGTCCAAGCTTTGGTCCACTATTCTGTCTTAGAATTGGTTGGAATTATATTTGTATCAACCACTTGAGTTTCTTGCTACTTGTTTATTTGGATTTGTCTTTTGTTCTTTTTTTTAATTTAAATGCAGCTTCTTCTTATTTTGAGGACACATCATATGAAATGCACCACCAACATGGTGTTGAGAGACTTATGGTTATTATTGAGAATTCTATGATTAATGGTAATATTTTAGTTTTTACACATACAAACAATTATAAGGTTGTCGAGTGTTCCTCAGTCAATGACAACCCAAACATGTATAAGCACAATTCAACACAAGTTATGCTAGGGTACAATCAATGATAACTATGTATATTTCTTAATTCTATTGACACCTATCATGATCCCTAAGACTTTAGGCTAGGGTACAATCAATGATAACTATGTTCCATGTTAATAGCGCCACAAATCGAAGGTGACAAAGATTGTGGAACTACAACCTATGAAAATTATGCATAAGGATAAAATCAACAAGATATGCAAAATTTAAAACAAAAAATCTAGCATTAACCGCGTAAATAGATGAATAAGACAATATTTATGATCATGGTTATATGACCATAGGATAGTCTTTTTATAAATATCACAATTTGTAAATTGTTTGACAAAATTAATCAATTGAGCTATTTTTATGCACTTTATCCTCTTTATTTTTATTTATTTTTAGTTTATTAGGCTATGTCACACATCATACATAACATTCTTTAGACTAGTTATTAAACTTGTGACTAAAGGATGTAGATCATACATCCTTGCATTGTTTGAAGACAAAAGAATCATTGTGACAAGTGTCAATTGACTCTTGGCTAACTCTTACTAATCAACAACAAAATTGGCATGCATAGTGGGACAATATAGTCAATACTACTAAAAAGTTCAATCATGAATCACCAATCAAGACTATATTTGGTGTATGTCTGTGTGGTCTAGAAAGAGTCTCATTATCATGGATCGAACATGACCATAATTTACTAGGAGGTTGTTAAGAGAAAATTGATAATTCAAGTGTTGTAACCGATTATTACAGGGGTGTAATCGGTTACAACTGTGTGAAAAAGTAATAAGAAAAGCTTTAAAAAAATTTAAGAGTGTAATTGGTTACGTATTCGTTTTCACAAGCCGAGTGATTCCAAATTCTAATTGTTCTTGCTAAAACATTAAAAGGTTGACCTCCTTGATGTGCAACATGAATTTTGTCTCCAATGAAAGAATCTCTGCAAACCTATTTATCCCTGATGTGAAGAAGTACGAAAAATTGTGCAAACAAATGAAGATATTGTTTGGCTACCAAGATGGTCTTGAAGTAGTCAAGAACGGGGTAAATCCTCTTGTTGAAGGTGCAACGGGTGCACAACGAGTCACACATAAGGAAGAAAAGAAGAAGGATTTCAAGGTGTTGTTTTTGATCCATCAATGTATGGATGGTGACAACTTTGAGAAAGATGGTGATTGTGAATCATCGAAGCAAGCGTGAGAAATCTTAGAGAATGCATGCGCAGGGGCTAACAAGGCAAATGTGTTGAGGTTACAAACTCATAAGCGTCAACTTAAATTAATTCAAATTGAGGGAAACGAGAAAATCAACTATTTCACAACAAAAATTACTCGATTGGTGAACCAAGTAAAAGCATGTGGAGAAATGTTCATTGAGAAGTATGTTGTCCCACAAATCTTGCATTCTTTAACGCCAAGATTTGGCAACGTGGTCGTAGCGATTAAGAAATTGAAGGATCTTACAACAATGAGCAAAGAGGAGTTGCAAAGCTCTCTTAACACTCTTGAGAAAAGGGTGGAAGAGAGGAATTGTAGCAAAGCAAATGGGGAGATTTCTTTACAAGACCGTTTCAATGAGAAAGAAAAGAAGTCGAAAGGAAAATAACCCATGATGAGTAAAGGGAATTTTTAGAATTTTGGTGGAAGAGAGTCTCAAAATTCTAAGAATTTGACTTGTCAAAAGGGTGAGAGCATCTGCAACAAAAATGGTGTTCGGAAACATCAGAGGTGATAGGAAAATGATTGGCAAGAGTAAGATTAAGTGCTTTATTTTGTTAAAGGTTCGGTCATTTTGCAAGAGAGTGAAATGCAAGCAAGAATGAACCTCAAAGGGATGACAGGGGAAGGGGTCGAAGTCGACAGGAAAGTAGAGGAAGAAGGAAAGGTGTTCTGAGCAGGAGAAGACGCATGGGTCGACTTAGACATATGACGGTCGACCAAGTTGGCGAAAGGGGCAACTGACGAAGAGGTTTTGTCAGGCGGGAAATGGATTTGAAAAAAGGAGAACATGGGAAGTTACAAAAGTAGTGACCCGACACGTGGCGGCACCTAAAGCAACCTGACGGTTATTTCACTTATTTATATAAAGCAAATCCTAGCTCCAAGAAAAGGGGCGTTTTTGGACAGCATTGTAAGAAAAACACTTTGAGTATTGCATATTAAGAGAAAAGAGTTTTTCATTCCTTACAAAATGTACGGGCACGTCCACTTGTATTTACCAATTTGAGTTAAATTTACCAAGTCTTTTTATGTTACGAAAGCAACGCCTTTACTTTCATGTCATTTTCCTTTTTCTTTGTTTTTATTTGAGTAGAAGCGCCATTATATTCACTTACTTAACTTCATCATACATACATCCAAATAACCACAAAGTCTACCACAAATTCACACACCTAGAACCAAGAGTCTTGGGGCTAGTTTGGCCAGTTCCACAAGTAAAATCGTGTCGGAACGTCAGAGGTTGTCCACGTGAAAAACACATGCGAACAAATTGGCACACCTGGTGGGACCCGAAGGTCTGGGTATATGCGTTTGCGCAGTGGTAAGATGGTAACACCACAACAAAATGAAGAACCGTCTTCGCAGAAAAATCCGGTCGTATCACCGGTAACGGTCGTGAACACTGATTCCACGTCAGTGGCTTCGACCGCTCATAGCGGACCACTCACGACTCCGCGTCGACCTGAAGTAAGGTCGGCAATGACAGGAGTCGGAGGGCAATACTTGCCCAGTTTCACCATACCGACGCCCCAACACTTGGGAATACCGACAGAGTTCATGTCGACGCTACACTATAGTGCGCCAGTCACAAAAGAAAGTTCTTCATTAGCATTTTTGCCATCTCGGAGCCTAGGACCTTTGACTTATCAAGGGATGAGACCTTCAGGATTTGATTCATTTTCCCCCGCAATACCAACTTTCACCACCAATTTTGTCGCTGTTATGCGACAGCAGATGGACGAAAGCAATCACGAGATGGTATATCTACTGACCCAGCAAATGAGAACCATCCGAAGACCATTGATACAAGATTCGACTCAGAGTTACCAACAATTGGCAACTCATATGACGCGAATAGGAGACTTTTTAGAGGTCCCTAGGGCCCTAGGGAGACAAACACCTCCCAATCATCCCGATACACCTGTCCGATAGAACGACACTATAGAAGAGACAAACGACCTACAGACCCCTGAGTACGAACACATACCTAGGGTGGCCCAAAGACCTCCCATTGTGATGGTTCATAGGAACCAAGACTCGAACTATGTGGTCAGACAAGTTAGGAACGAAGCTCTAGGGGGTGAAGCTAATTTGGAGGCCATGGTGGAACGCATTATGGTTCACAACCGAGTGAATCCAAGTCTTTGACGGCCCACCTACACGTCTCCACTACCAGATTTTATTCTGCAACTGAGTTACCAATGGGATGGAAGGTTCTAAAATTCACCAAATTCGCGAGAGAAATGGAAGAATCCATCGTCGAACATGTCGCCAGGTATCAAACCGAGGCTGGGGACATAGCGAATAACGAAAACTTAAAAATGAAATATTTCCCTAGTTCCCTAACCAAGAATTCGTTCACGTGGTTTACCTCGTTACCCCCACAGTCTGTCCATACGTGGACGCAGCTAGAAAAATTTTTTCACAAGCAATTTTACATGGGGCAGTCAAAGATTAGTTTGAAAGAGCTAGCCAACGTCAAGCGAAAGGCAGCGGAGTCCATAGACCAGTATATCAACAGGTTCAGACTATTGAAAGTGTGATGCTTTACACAAGTCCCTGAACACAAATTGGTCGAAATTGTAACACCCTTTTCTACCCCAAAAATATAATGGCAAACCATTCACATTTATCAAAGTAATATTTTAAACATAATAAAAATCACCTCATAGGGCGTACATTTTTCAATAATTTAAATCCAAGTCAATACTCCGTAAACAACGGGTTTTCCCAAATCTACTAAAAAATTGCTCAAATGGCAGCGGAACTCAAAAAGGCAAATCCAAAGTTTTCTTTGCACAATAACATAATCAAAATAACAAAAATCAATAAAACATGGTTTAACTCAAAGACCCCAACCCGATGTTACACTTCAGAGCAAGACCCTCTAAGTCAACCAAAAAGTCAAAAACTCCAAAAAAATCCTCGACGACATCCTATTGCACCACAAAATTTGCCCTCACTTTTTCTAACTTTGACTGACTTTTGCTTCGCATTCATCTGCATATCATCTAGGTCAATCATTTCTCGCATACTGTCCATGTTATCAGCCGAAATGGGTTTATCAGGGTTATAGTCGTTTTGTTCGCATTTTAGACAGTTTAAACTAGTTCAAATGATGAGATTTATTTCGAAATCGAGTGAAAGGTTGTTCTCGTCCTGGTGGTTCAGTTTGTGCTGATAATTTTGTTGCGCTTCGGTGTTCGATCCCTTTTTTTTATTATTTTGTGGCATTTTGTGATTTATTTTTGCTTTAATTTCTTTTTTATAGTTTGTTAATATAATATAATGGTAAGT